CTCTGTCATTTATCTCACTGAATGTCCCCAACTGCTCAAAGTATCATTTACTGCTTCCTGTCAGCCAAAATTACCCCCAGTTGGTGATCATTGCCTAATGAAGGGTTTAGTGACTAAAACCATTAATCTTTGGAACACAGGCCACATAATGGAAGAGAAACCCCTTGTGACATCACCCATCTTTCTCCTGAGGAGTGGTAGTTGAGAGTGAGAGAGGGATGAGAAACAATGATTTGGAGGTTTTCAAATGTAGCCCAAGGAATTCCTTCCTGTTCAGAAACCTTCATACAGCACTCTTGTGTATGAAAGAAAACTATCTCCAGGTAATTTATCAATTTTTAATAAATATGTACCTCTATTACTATATTGGCATATAAATAGTACACATATAAGTTTATTCCCAAGTATACCATTTAACTATATCTCATAAAGCAAAATATCATTTGTTATTTTAAATTAATATACACTTAGGCAAAAAAAGTGTTGCATTTGCTCTCATGATGGTTGAGAATAAAACACTAGAGATAGAACATTGCTGCTAACAATTTAAATTCTTTAAGAGCAAGAAAGGGATTGGCAGTAATGGGAAGCTGACAGGGGAAGGGAGCACACTTCATCAACAAGGATATCTGCATAACGAAAATTTGTATACCTAACACTGAATTGTACACAGCATCTTTAAAATTAAAAATTAAAAATAAAAGAGAGAACAAAATAATATAAAATATCAGCACTACAAAGACTAAAATAAAATAAAACTATTTAATACCTAAGCAGCATATGTTTTCAAATTATAACACAAATTATGTGTATAATAGAATATGAAGGTTTACTTATGTGGTTGATAGAAATACTATTTATAAAACACTGAAGAAACATAGTTTGATGAAATTTCAATTTGAGTAAAAGATGAATATCTTAAGTACAACACTTATTTCACTGATAATGAGACAGAATCCAAATCTCTGTTGAAAGAAAGAAAATCCCAGGTACAAATTTAAAAACCTAAAAAAATGGAGGACTTTCTGACACCACACAATCTCTCAAGGCTGAAACAAGAAGAAATACAGACCTTAAAGAGGACAATTAACAACCCTGGAAATTGACTCATCATAAGAAAACTACCTATAAAAAAAAAAAACCCTGGGCCCAGATGGCTTTCCAGCAGAATTGTGAAAATCTAAAGGAGGAGCTGATGCCAATCCTGTTAAATGTATTCCAGGCAATCGAGAAAGATGGAACTCTCCCCAAATCATTTCCTGAAACTAACATCACACTGATACCCAAACCAGTCCAAAAGACTGGCAAAGAAAAAGAACTACAGGCCAATATCCCTGATGGACATAAGATGTAAAAATACTCAACATAATTCTAGCAAATCGGATCCAACAGCACATCTCAAATATTATTCACCATGACCAAGTAGGATGCAGGACTGGTTTAACATCCACAAGACCATAAATGTGATTAAATACTTCAACAGATATAAAAAAAAGAACCTAACGATTATATCATCAGATGCAGAAAAGGCTTGCAACAAAATCTAGCATTGAGTATTGATGAAAATCCTTAAACACCCAGAAAGAAGAAACATACCTCAGAACAGAAAAGCCAGCTACAATAAGCCCACAGCCAACATATTACTAAATGGACATAAAGGGAAAGCATTTTCCTGGAAAATCAAAAGAAGACAAGACTCCTCACTCTCACCTCTCCTGTTCAACATAGTGTTGGAAGTCCTAGCTACAGCAGACAAGAGAAGGACATCAGGGGTATCCAAATAGGAAAACAGAAAGTTAAGCTATCTCTGTTTGTGGACGATATGATCTTATTCCTGGAAAAACCTAAGGGAATCTGTCAAAAACCTCCTTGTGCTGGAAACAGTGGCTCAAAGAGAATTTCCTGAGCTCAGGGATTCGAGATTAGCCTGAGTAATATGGCGCGACCACATCTCTACAATACATACATACATATATACATACATACATACATATATACATACATAATTAGCTGGGCATGGTAGTGCACGCCTGTGATTCCAGCTATTTGGAAGGCTGAAGCAGAAAGATGGCCTGAGCCCAGCAGGTAGAGGCTGCAGTGACTGTGAACATTCCATTGCACTGCAGCCAGTGTGACAGAGTGAGACTCCAGACAAAAAAACAAACAAAAAAACTCCTTTGGCAAAGTCTCAGAGTGTAAAATCAACATCCAAAGACAGCCACATTATTATATACCAACAACAAACAGGCAGAAAACCAAATAAAAAGTAGAATCTCTTTCACAATAGACAGAAAAAAGAAATACCTTCACAGCATCCTAACCAAAACAGGAAAAAACCCTTAAAACAAAAACTACAAAAAAGCTCAAAGAGATCAAAGAGACACAAACAAATGGAAAAATAGTTCACATTCATGAATTGAAAGAATCAACATTGTTAAGATGTCCATCCTACCCAATGCATTCTTGGATCAACAATACAGAAAATCATATGGAAATATAAATGACGGTGAGTAGCACAACCAATCCTCAGCAAAAGAAACAAAGCAGAGATATCACATTACTAGACTTTAAATTTTATTATAAAGGTATATTAATCAAAACAACCTGGTATTGGTACAAGAACTGGCATATAAACCAATGGAACCGGATAGAGATTTGAGAAGCAAAACCTCAATTCCTCAACCAACTCATCTTTGACTACCACTGGGGAGAGGAAAACCTGTTCAGCAAATCGTGATGGGGAAACTGGCTGACCAAATGCAGAAAAATGAAACAGGACCCCTACCTATCTCCAAACACAAAAATCAACTCTAAATGAAGCAAGCACATAAACATAAAACCGCAAAATATAAGAATCGTAGAAAATGTAGGAAACATCCTTACAGAAGTTGGAATAGGCAGTCAATTCCTGATCAAAACCCCAGATGCCCATGCCATAAAGGATAACATAGACAAGTGGGACTTCAACAAACTGAAAATCTTCTGCAAAGCAAAATAAACAATCAAGAACGGGGGAAAACAGCAAACAGAATGGGAGAAAATATTTGCTAATTACATATCTGACAAAGGCCTAACATCCAGAATCTATAAGGAACTCAAACATGCCAAAAGAAAAAGTAAACATTTAAAAATGGGCAAAACATAAATAAATATATAAATAAAAATGCATCTATTGAGTAAAAAAGCAGCAAAATAAATGAATAGACACTACTCAAAAGATATTCATACAGCCAAAAGACACATGAAAAAATGCTCAATCTTACCAATCAACAGAGAAATGCAAATCAAAATCACAGTGAAATACCACCTAACTGCAGTAAAAAATGGCCATCATTAATAAATCAAATGAACATAGATGCAAAAATCCTCAACAAGTTTCTAGCAAATCAGATCCAAAAGCATATCTCAAAAATCATCCACCATGACCAAGTAGGTTTTATCCCCAGGTTGCAGGGCAGGTTCAATGTTCCCAAGATCATAAATGTAATTAAATACTTCAACAGGTGTAAATACAAGAACCACATGATTATCTCATAAGGTGCAGAAAAAGCTTTTGATAAAATCTAGTACCTCTTCTTGATAAAAACCCTCAAACAACTAGGTATAGAAGGAACATAATACAAAGTAGTAAGTGCTATGTATGATAAACATACAGCTAACATGTTGCTCAATGGACAGTAACTGGAAATATTTCCCCTGAAAACTGGAACAAGACAAGGCTGCCCATTCTCACCCCTCTTGTTCAACATTGTGTTGGAAGTCCTAGCTTTTGCAATTAGACAAGAGAAGGAAATCAGTGATATCCAAATAGGAAAAGAGGAAGTTAAGCTATCCCTCGTTGCTGATGATATGATCCTATACCTTGAAAATCCAGGAGAATCTGTCAAAAACCTGCTTGCACTGATAAAGAACTTTGGCAAAGTCTCAGGATACAAAATAAACGTGCAAGACATTTGCATTCCTATACACCAACAACAAGCAGGCAGAGACCCAAATTAAAAGTACAAACCCATTCACAATAGCCACAAAAAAAGAAATAGTTCAACATCTTCCTAACCTGAGAAGTGAAAGACCTTTACAATGAGAACTGCAAAACATTGCTCAAAGGAATCCAAGAAGACACAAACGAATGGAAAAATATTCCATGCTCATGGATAGGAAGAACCACATTGTTAAAATGTCCATCCTACCAAAGGAAATCTACAGATTCAATGCAAAACCCATTAAGATACCAACATCATTCTTCTCAGACCTTGAAATGACAATACAGAAATTCATATGGAAACCTAAACGGTCATGAATGGCCAAAAAATTCCTTAGCAAAAGAAACAAAGCAGGAGGTATCACATTTCCAGAATTCAAACTTTACTATAAGGCTACACTAATCAAAACAGCCTGGCATTGGTACAAGAAGAGGCATATAGACCAAAGGAACAGGACAGAAATTTGAAAGCAAAGCCTCAATTTTTCAACCAACTTTTTTTTGACAAAAACTCCAACAACAACCACTGGGGATAGGAGAACTTATTCAGTAAATGGTGCTGGGAAAACTGGATGACAACATGCAGAAGACTGAAACAGGACCCCTACCTCTCACCATACACAAAAATTAACTCTAAGTGGATCAAAGACCTAAACATATAACCTCAAACTAAGAGAATCTTAGAAAATGCAGGAGACACCCCTATGGAAATTGGAACTGGCAACCAATTCCTATTCAGAACTCTAAAGGCCAATACCTTAAGAAATCAGATAGATAAGTGGGACCTCATCAAACTAACAAACTTCTGCAAATCAAAAGAAGCCATCAAGAGAGCAGGGAGACAGACCACTTAATGGGAAATAATATTTGCCAAGTGTATATCCAAAAAAGGCCAGACATCTAGCATCTACAAGGAACTCAAACGTGCCAAAAGGAGAAAAAAAACAAACAGCCCCATTTAAAAAGTGGGAAAGAGGGGAGCCCCTCAGGCACCGTGAGTTCATGGCCAATATCCCACCGTGGGAAGGGCGTGGGTCTGGCAGGGCGGTTTCAGCTGCTGCCGTTGCTGCTGCTACAAACAGCAAGCACCGAGGGACATCTGTGGCAGCCGCTGTGAAAGAGGTGGATGTACGGGCACTGAGGAGTTTCAGCCACACATCCCGGGATGTGGCCTCACCCCAGGGATGAAAGAAAAATCTACACAAATGAAGAAAAACCAAAATAAGAATATGGGTCTCTCCCAGACCCCTGGGAGGGCAGACAATGAGAAAACTGACCTTGGAATGCAAACAATGAAGAGCCGCCAGAATGACTGGTCTCAAACTACAAACCTAGATATCAAGACGTAAAAAGAGAGATTAAAAAGAACTGAGGAGGCACAAGAAAAAACTAGAAAGGAGATATATCTGAGATAACAATAATAAAGAATACTATGAATGAAATAAATAACAAACTGATAAGCATGGAAAGCAGAATTACTCAAGCAGAAGAAAGAATCTGACAGCTCGAAGAACAAAATATAGAACTAACCCAAACTCTCAAAAACACAGAAAACAAGCCCAAAAAGATGGAAAAAAACCTTCAAGAGATGAGCGATTACTCCAAGAGACCGAACCTAAGAATAATTGGCCTTCCTGAGGCAGAAAGAAAGACAGAGACCACATTGGAACAAACTTTCCATGAGATCATTCAAGAAAATTTCCCTTATCTAATCAATCATGCAAAAATTCAAACACAAGAGATTCAGAGAACCCCTGCAAGACAACAAATGAGAAGACCAACTGCTAGACACATAATAATTCACCTAAACAAAGTAGGCATAAAAGAAAAAAATCCTAGAGGCAGCAAGAGAAAAAGGCCAGATCAACTACATCGGAAAACCAATTAGAATAGCAGCAGATTTGTCTACAGAAACCCTGCAGATTAGGAGAGCTTGGAGCCCTATCATCAAAGTCCTACAAGATAAACAATTTCAACCAAGGATCACCTACCAAGCCAGATTAAGCTTCGTCAATGAGGGAGAATTAAAATCTTTCCTAGATATCCAAACCCTAAGAACATATACTGCCACCAAACCACCTCTATATGAAACACTTAAGAGAGTACTAAACACAGAAGAAAAGGGGGAAAAAAGAACAACATTCTTCACCAGGGTACAGGAAAAATAATAAAATACACATGAATCAACTCCAAAACCAAAAGAAAGAAATAAACCAAGTGAAATAACAACTCTATAAGAACTCTATGATAGGGATGAACTCTCACATTTCAATAATTAGCCTGAATGTGAATAAACTAAATGCACCACTGAAAAGACATAGAATGGCAAAATGGATAAAATATCACCAGGCAACAATATACTGCCTTCAAGAGACACATCTCACTAGAAAGGACATACACAGACTCAAAGTCAGAGGATGAGAAACAAATTTTCAGGTAAATAGAACACAAAAGAAAGGAGGAGTCGTAAGCAGAAGTCAGACAAAATACCATTTAAACTATCAAAAATTAAAAAAGATACAGAGGGCCATTACATAATGATAAAAGTTTCACTCCATCAACAAGAAATATCTATCCTAAACATAAATGCACCTAACATAGGTGCACCAACTTTTATAAAGCAACTCCTGGGAAAACTGAAGAAAGATATTGATTCTAACACCATCATAACTGGGGACTTTAATACCCCACTCACAACCCTATACAGATCATCAGGACAAAAAATCTGCAGTGAGATCAAAAACCTCAATGTGACTCTTGAACAAATGGACTTAATTGATACCTACAGAACACTCCGTCCAAAGACCACAGAATACACATTCTTCTCATCCCTGCTGGAACGTATTCTAAGATCGACCACATAATTGGCCAAAAATCAAGCTTAAGCAAATTTAAAATGATCAAAATTTTACCATGCATCTTCTTGGACCAGAGTGGAATAAAAATAAACATTGACACCAACAGGGTTCCCCCAAAACCCACAGAGACATGGACACTAAGCAGCATGATGCTAAACAACTCCTGGGTCAATGAAGAAATTAAAACAGAGATCAAAAGATACCTGGAAACAAATGAAAATTAAGAAACATCTTACCAGAATCTCTGGGATGCCATGAAAGCTGTAGTAAGAGGGGAATTTATATCCCTACAAACGCACATGAAGAAAATGGAAGGAGCACAAATTAACAGCCTAACAAGCCACCTAAGGAAGCTGGAAAAGCAAGACCACAAAAACCCTAATTTCAGCAGAAGAATCCAGATCACCAAAATAAAAGCCCAAATCCAGGACATAGAAGAAAAAAAGACAATACAAAAAATCAATGAAACAAAAAGCTGGTTCTTCAAAAGGATAAACAAGATCGGTGGTCCCTATAATGTGAGAAAAAACCCAAATAAGCACAATCAGAAACACAAAAGATGAAGTCACATCTGACCCTGAAGAAATACAAAAGATCATTAGAGACTACTACGTACATTTGTATGGAAACAAACTTGAAAACCTCAAGGAAATGGAGGACTTTCTGTCATTACACAATCTGCCTAGGTTGAAACAAGAAGAAATTGAGACCCTAAATAGACCAATAACAATAAAAGGAAACTGACTATGTAATAAGAAAATACCTACAAAAAAAAAGCCCTGGACCAGATGGTTTTCCAGCAGAATTCTACAAGACATTTAAGGAGGAGCTGATTCCAATCCTACTGAAGGTATTTCAGTTGACTGAGAAAGATGGAACCCTCCCCAAACCATTTTATGAAGCTAACATCACATTGATACCCAAGGCCGGTAAAGCTCCAACAAAGAAAGAGAACTACAGGCCAATATCTTTGATGAACATAGATGCTAAAATTCTCAACAAGATTCTAGCAAATTGGATCCAACAACACATCTCAAAAGTCATCCATCATGAACAAGTAGACTTCATCCCTGGGATGCAAGGCTGGTTCAACATTCGTAAGACCATAAATGTAATTAAATACATTAACAGATGTCAAAACAAAAACCACATGATTATATCATTAGATGCAGAAAAAGCTTTTGATAAAATCCAGTACCCCATCTTGATAAAAACCCTCGAACATCTAGGCATATGGGGAACATACCTCAAAATAGTAAAAGCCATCTATGAGAAACCCACAGCCAGCATACTCCTAAACAAACAAAAATTGGAACCATTTCCCCTGCCAAGTGAAACAAGACAAGGATGCCCAGTCTTACCCCTCCTGTTCAATATACTATTGGAAGTCCTGGCTAGAACAATCAGAGAAGAGAAGGCAATCAGGGTTATCCAAACAGGAAAAGAGGAAGTCAAGTTATTTCTCTTTGCAGATGACAGAGAATCTGTCAAAAACCTCCTTACACTGATAAAGGCCTTTAGTAAAGTCTCAGGATATAAAATAAATGTGCAAAAGACAATTGCATATCTTTACACCAATAATAAACAAACAGAAACCCAAATAAAAACCACAATTCTCTTCACAATAGCCACACAAAAAAATGAAATACCTTGGCATCTTCCTAACCAGAGACATGAAAGACCTTTACAATGAAAACTACAAAACACTGCTCAAAGAAATCAAAGATGACACAAACAAGTGGAAAAATATCCCATAGAATTAACATTGTGAAGATGTCCATCTTACCTACGGCAATCTACAGATTCAATGCAATACCTATCAAATTACCAGCAACTATTCTTCTCAGATCTAGAAAAAAACAACACAGGAATTCATATGGAAACACAAACGACCAAGAATAGCCAGAACAATCCTCAGCAAAAAAT